ACTTCGGCACCTTGACTAATCCTCTTATGAATAGTGCATTTGCTGCAACCAATGTTTTGTCAAACTGTTTTTTTAAATTTCGAGTTTTCTTTTGCGAACCGCAAAGTGGATTGCTAGTATACCTGCTTGGGTTTTATCCTCATGAACTCGATGCAATGTATGAGACTTCCTTATATATATATATAAGAAATTTTTTAGACAAAAGAACTTGTCCCTTAATTTCTGACCACAAATGGTGATCTAACTGAAACAAAAAAACACAAAAATAATCCACAGCCAAACTTTATATAAATAATCATAATCCCTTCATCTTATCCATAATAGGTACTCCAGCCAACACGTGCCCCTGCACCCTTTCCATCAAAATATACGCCAACCCCCCGACCTCATCACCTTAAACCTCTGGATTGCCATAAGAGACAGAAGAAAAAGAGACGAAATAAAAGTGTGAACCCGGAGCTTGATGTCAGTGGCAACGGTTTGTATTGTCCAGCTTCGGATCCACCACCGAATAAGGTAAGAGGACATATGTGGTGGTTTTACAAAAATATACAAAGGTTCACGAGGATCCTTTCTACCAGCTAGTCCTTAGAGAATAACTCTTGTTGGATTATCCATACCTGTTTACTATGTTTTAAGGTTCTGGAGAATATTGCCACCAACCGTTTCTTGTCCAAACTCCTTTAAAATGATCTAGCATGGAAAACATAAAGAACCGAATACTATTTAGGTTCACGAAGATCGTGTCTACCAGCTGGTTCATGACCAAACCTCTTCGTTTCAGGATTATATCCCTGGGTTTGTGAAGATCAAGCATCACGATTGTTACCGATGCGTAAACCGGATGTCGACTCATGATCAGCATTCCTGGATTCAAGCTTTTAATTTTGCTTGTCGGATTCGAAAATCGTCCACGAAACGAAGCCCAAAAGTTGCTGGTGAACACTTGCTGTGTGTCAAAGGTTCAAAAGGTAGGCTTCTGGACTTATAATTCCAATAAAAGCAAGGGAGATGATTAATATAGGCGTATCCTTTTCATAATGTATCTTTATATATATATTTATGAATAAAATATTGTTTACAAAACAATAAATAAAAGCAAGAGCATGGTGTATGGATATGCAGGGCGGTTTCAAAAGATACTAGCAATCTAGGTGTCGGACATGAGAAACTCCCTCATGTGAAAAGTTCATTAGCTGTTACCAATGTTTCGCTAATATGTTGTTTTGGATTTCGGGTTTCGTATTGCGGCTCGCTTCGTTATTTCTTGGTTTGTTTATTGCAGATAAGTTCATAACTAATGCAGCTGTAAGTAACGATGAAGTTCACGGCCAGATTGTGCCTCGATCACAGAGTGAAAATCTTCCCGATACTAACGAGGCAGCTACCGATATCACTAGCGGGAAATACGCATCTAAACCATTGACCAAGAAACGAGGATCCATAATCAGAGCTGGAAAAATATCAGGTAATTGTCCTTTCCCTTTAATACACTTGGGATATTTTAAATGATGGAGTGGGGCGGGGTAGGTGGGGTACATAGAGACCTCAACGTCTAGAAATTCGATGCCTTGTTTAAGGGTAACTTCATATCAAAAATGTTCCCCATGACATATTGAGAAAAAGGTTAGCTAGATATCGCAAGTTTTGCTTATATTTTTTTGTCGAACATGGACCGAAGGATAAAAACTTCCCCCACAAACTATTAAAGACAGTCATCGGACCGTTTAGTTATATATATGTTGTCAATGATCAAAAGTAGATAGAATACACGGACGTAAACTCCCATTCATGTGATGTAATTTATGTTTCAGAACGCCACAGAAACAGTCAGGGGGATCCGAAATACCTCACCAGCATCATGCTGACAATGCCTATCAACGTCGAGTTCCTTAAAAACATGGAACTGAACAATCTAACTCACACTTTAAAAGGAGCACAATCATTGACGATGGCGATTGAGTACAATAGAAAAAACAGAAAAAGGATAATGGAAAAGAAATTGGAGGCACAACAGAAAAGTGAGGACCTAGCCATCGCCTCGAGCTTCACCATGTTAACGCAATCAGAGAGCTTGTCCAAAATCCACAATGAGCAGGACCAGCTAAGAGAACTTTCATTCAGCGTAATGGAGGAATCAGATGCCCTGTACCGTCCTGACAGCATTATGTCACTGTCTGATGGTCCGATTTCAAATAGGCGTCCAGTAGTGATCTTCTCCGAAACTGATCTCCGAGAAAAAAACAAAGATCTCCATCTGAATAAGAATACGTCTGCTAACAATGACATTGATCTGTATACCAAAAGCAAGGATAATGGGGGTCCAGCTGATCTCAAGTCTGAATCAGAAGCAAACAGCTTAGAAGAACCCGATGCGTCATCTAAGGAACAACCAGAAATTATTACCACAAATTTAAATGTTAGCGATTCTTCTTGTTATTGGGTGTTTACATCGGAGATGACCCATCCAATTAATGAAAATCTCGAAGGAAGTACGCCACAAATTTCCCAAAGTCTTCAGACCGAGAGTCAAAATGGGACAAAAGATGTACCACAAGTTCCAGAACATCTTCCTAACGAAGATTACCGCGAGGATGAAGATCCATATTTGGAAGAAGATGATGACGAAGAAGGAGATGTCTTTTATGAACTTCGATCCTTTCCACAGAAATTCAATATAGGTTTGTTTTTCTTACAAGGCACAATATTTCGAGCGAAGCAGCACAATATTCCGAACAATAGAAATTAGTAGTTTCTGACCTTGCACAATTTCCTTACCCGCTTGTATGAAATAGTTTTTAATTATTTTTTCCTTCTCCGGCATAAAAGTCCTTGGTTTTTACCTCGTTTTAGTTCGATGTTTTCCTTTTTTTGTAGAAAATTTTGCGCTTCCAACTGGTAAGGACTTGTGTTACACCGCCATGACAGATAAAAGATACAATAAATGGAGTCGCCAGAAACGTAGAGGAAGCAAGAAAAAGCCGAAGAAACGGGAGAAGGAGGACAAATATGCCGTATCGGACGAGAATCTTTCAGCTACCCAGGAAGTTTACCTCAGAAATCTGGAGGCTATTTATAGATCTCGTGAAGGAACCATAAAATACAACCATGATAAAGCCAACAACGATATCGTTACGCATTCGGAATGTGACCCAACTCTAGTCGCTAGTGCGACCTCAAAAGTATCGCTTTCTGGTTCACGCGTCCAAACGATATCGTCTACGTCGTTGCAGAAAGTTTGCGTCTTGGAAGGCATATCCAATGCTCTACCGCCGCCTTACCGTAACTCTGATACGAGTCAGGCAAGCTATAGTTTTGCGGATGTGGTCGAAGGCGAACTGAAGATGCTTTGTACTAGTAACAACAGTGATCAATTCATGCCTAAAAATGGACGATGGGATTCGCATGACCAAGATCTCAATATCAGAGCAAGCGATTCGAGATCTTTACACGTTGAAGAAGTAGATAATCAAGATCTGCGTTCATCTATGGATTTGACTTTCCCATTGCGAAGATCGGCCTCTGGCAATACTCGTGGATCCGCTGAGCATGTTCCCCGCAAATCATCCTCCTTACTCACTATGCCCTCAAATGAGCGTTCAGGTTGGTGACTTACCATCTGTAATTTCGACTGGGGGCATTCACAAAAATTGCTCCTCAATGGTGGTGTGGGTGTGCTTCTTGACGAACTGGTAGTGGAGCAGGTGTTCACTCAAAAGAGGCATCATTGAAATAGCCCCAATCTAAAGGAAAATTTCCTGGCAAACATTTTCTTCCGTGCCTTTCATGCATGACATCAAATACAAAGTGGAAGAGCTTCCTTTCGTTCATTCCTCGATTCTGATTTTGAATTTGCAATCCTTACTAAGGAGTTTATTTTTTCAGAGGAATGTATACCAACAAAAGAACTGGGAGTAGATCTACCGGAGCTGGTAAAGCCAGTGACAGCTCAAACTACAGGCCACGGGAAGAGATCTGTACCAAGCCATGCCTACATAGCCAGTGTACAGAAGCAGATCCTTGACTACCATAGACGAGATTTGTTTAATGGTAGCAGGTAAGGGACGCTAGCTTACTTTCATCAGTTATAACTAGTCAGCTAGCTATAGACTAGTTGATAATAAAGGATATTTATTTTTAACTGAATTGTTTTCGTTGTAACATTTCCTTTATTTTTTGGACTGATTTCTTTCAGTTTGATATGTCCTCTATATGTCACCCTTCCTACTATGGATATAAACATAACGGGAAAAGGACAAACAGGAGTGAGACGATCCGCTCCAGTAAAACCAACTCGACCTTTTGATCGAAGGAAAAAGTCTCCAAGATTCATTCCAAGGAACTATACAGCGGTGAGAATTTCTGAAGATCCGGTACTCTCGATTGTGAAAGGCAAAAAGGCTCATGGTACCACTACAAGAAGGTCGAAACCTAAAACTTTTAAAAGTAAGTCACACGGCAGATAAGAGAGACTCACAAAACCTCGAGAGATTAATCCTTGAACGATGCTGATCGGAGAGCTTTTTGAATACTTCAATTACAATGTTACAATGTCATATTCTTGATTAGCTTAAGCAGCTAAGTGATAGCTTGTAATGTTTTCAATCAAATTCTTCCAGAATCACATCAAAAATATGTTAGTATGTTTTCTCTTATGCTACCATGATAGCTTTAAGAAAACTTCAATTATTTTTGATGATAATGAAATTCCCATACTGCTTGTTATTGCAGGAAGAGTTCAGATAGGAGAAGAAATGGAGGCTATAACTATACATGATTTACTCAGTAATCTCAATTCTAGTGCAGATCCAAACTGCTCTAAAACTAAGGTAATTTCATTTTAGTGAAAACTTCACCTCAAATCCCTTTGATATTAAAGCTACGATGAAGAATAAAAAATCCTACATCATAAAAACATATTTATTACATGCCTTTTTCAGTATTTCCAGAAGCATCCATCCAACAAATCACCATGTCGCGGTCAGACATTTAGAGAAATTTACGGGAAAACAACGTGTCCAACTGGTAACCATGGAAATAGTCCTGAGAAACAAGAACGAGAACGAAGTCTGTCAGCTCTGTCCATCTCCAAATCTGTCATTTTCTCTGTCCTTCCCATTCCTGACTTTTATAAAATTCCAGAACGTTTTAAATAAATTAGATTTTTTTTTCATCTATTTTAAAACTGGCAGTGTATTTTTTTAAAGATTATATGAACAAAAAACAGACATCTTGGTTATTTCCAGGAAAAGTTGGTATACCTTTTTTTATTGACCCATAATTTCATGTGAATTGATTTCTATTCTCTAACTTCTGTCTATAAAAATGTTAAGTGACCTTTAGGCCATGTTTTAGTTAATTGTAAGATAACCTGGAGCTAATTTTTATGTTGAAAAGGGATATGGATAACCGAAAGTGAGGTGAATCATCTGGTAAACCAAACACCATCCCTTTGTCCCCTTGTGACCAGTTGGTGTAGAAAAAAAATATATTTTGAATTGAGAGAGCACCTCACATCAACACATGCTGGAAATGTGGATGATACAAATTTTAGGGTGTGAAAGGTTCAGGTGATTCCAGGGGGTGAAGACTAAAAAAGGTTGGGAACCACTGTCTTAGATGTTGAAATAGTTGTTAAATTGCATTAGAACTGAACATTGGATTTTAATTCTAAAAGTGACACGGATGGCTCCTCTATCAGCTGGTAAATATGTATACAACTATATCTCTTTAAATTCCTTCAAGAAATAACAAGTCAGAATTCCTTTCAGAATAATTTAATACATATAACAGGAATAAACTATAAGTTATAATTGAGATGGAGGTTCAATATTTAATAATTTTAAACCATTCTGTAAAACTTGATGAGCAGCTTTCACTAAATATAACCTGGCAAACATTGTTCCCATTAGATGAGCTTTATTATCCTGGAAAATACAGACAAAATATTACTTATAAATATAAGGAAATACACCAAGCGAAACTTAAATAAACTTCTGTTCTAAATCACTTTAGTTATAATCCATATCTATAATACCTTTCTGCTATGGAATGGAGGGAGGGAGGGCTTTGTTTTCGAAAAAATGCTTCCATGAATATCAATAACAATGAATTGAATTTTTGTATCATAAATTTTTACCACTAGTATATGTATTCGACTGTAGTAAGAACTTAAACTTCTACTGAAAGACACTAGAAAATTGGCAACCTGAAAAATATAACAAAAATTAGAAAAAAATCCCTGTACTAACAAAGAATAGCAAAATTGAGAGTAAAAGTTGTATAGTAGTGGATTCCTCCAAAGAGCTTCCATATCTCCTTTCAAAATGACGTTCAAACTTTGTGTTTGCATTTGCCTACAGTTTAAAAGTCTATCACCTATTGAGAATTAAATGATTATATAGCTTAATTCCAGATATCTGTATCCCTTTTCAGAATTAAAATCAAACTTTCCATTCTTCTACAATTTACAAATTCTATCAAAATTGGGTGACTAGTCTCTTTCATTCTTCAGCATTTTGAGTGTCAGGAAGAAACATCTGCAATCTTAAAATACCATCCAAAAAATAAGTATAATCCATGACAAGACTGGGTTACCTTGTGTATGTGTATTTTAGCTAGTAAACTAGTAGAGTTTAAACCTAAATCATCTATACACGATGATACTATTTCAGGGTAGATGTATATATAGTTAAATAATAGGCTCCATTCCTCCTACAATATAAAACAGAGTTAAAAAATCTGACAAGAGCTCATAATCACCAGCATTAACGTTCCTTAAACTTTATCAAAATTAGACACTATTTAGAATCACAATTACATATAGAAAGTAATAGACTTGCAATGGATTAGGCGTAAGAAAATAGACAAAACCATGTAGTGTATTTTGGGTGAAATTTTGTCAAAACTGTGGCATAAGTCTACTCTTTTTTGTAAGAGTAAGAATCTATAGAATGATAACAATTTTTTGCTATATGTACTTAAGAATTACGTGCGCGTTAAAAAGGATGTGTATAATATTCACAAATATACAGTACCTCTTCTCTTAATGCAGTAAAATCAACTTCATCTATATCAGGCAGTGGTGGATAATGACCTACGATTATAACATAAAACCCCATCTTTATCATATTGTCAATGATTTAAAGAGAGATTTTCTCAAATACTGCAAGTTACTCTTTCTTTTCCCATTTCTCTGAACCATCATCTCATCATTAACATCTTCACAATGTCAAGCTATTCCCAACTTTGTCTTATACCTTGACTGTAATAGCCACTATTCTTATATCACAAAATGCAGCAATTTGATTAGATTGCACAGCACTCAGAGCGCTCAGGGGTGACATAAAGACTGTAAACTCAATCTTCAGCTAGTTTTCAAAGAATAATTTTGGTACCTTTTTTAACAGCTTCATGGTAATTCTTGAATAAAGTAGATAATCTGGCAGAGTTATAAAGAACAAAGGAACCATTTCTATTGTCTAAACAGTCTTCACCCAGGTCTAGCTTCACCTACAAATACAAATATTATATCAAAATTTCAAGCAGTGACCCACTGCTTTACGTATTTCAATTGATGGTTTTGAATATATGTAAATAGTCTTCAGAAGAAATAATATCTCAAATAGAAGTTTTACTTTCTCTTTCTATATATGGCACAGTCTCAAGAAAAGATGAGTCGTCATTTCAACTTTCAAATGCGAATAATTCTGGACATACATGGATTTAAAGGTGAATGACAGTAAGCTGTGAACACTATAACTGTTTAGCTTAGCTTCAAAAATTTCCCTTTCTAAGATTAAAGTATGGCTGGTCTATCAGATAGTGAACCTGTCCCTTTAACTCACTAAACTTACATTATTTCGAACAGTGGTGGTCAGCATTTCAAACCTGAGACCAGCTACAGTTAAATACTGGATCCTTTCTTTCCATTTCTCTTCTTTGACTTCATCTCCATATTTCATTATACTAGACTCTAACATCTGATCATAACGTAACCTGGTGGAATAAATACATGAGTTTGATAGTTCAGTAGGGACTCAGACTGAAAATAGGTCAGTTGTTTGACGATCGCATAGCGTGAAACCTTGAGTAACAACATGATTCAAGTTCTGTTTTAATATTTCTATGAATATCATAAATAAAAAAAAGCATGTACAATCCGAAACCACAAAACGAAATTCAAAATACAAAATAACATATTGCCAGAAAATAAACTATTTCTATGAGGAAATACATGAATAGAGGTAAATGTGGTTGAAAATCACATGGGGCAATTTTTGATGGGTGTTCATTGAAGGCAGCGCTAAATATAAGTGACTGTTGGTACAAGTTTGACCGTTTACAATCAATTATATTTTTTGAATGATCCCCAAGCTTTAAGTCCTGGTACTTTGTCAGTAATTCTTATCACTTTCATGAAATTATTTCTGGTTTCAGCTTCACGAAAAACTCTTGAAAAATTTGTTAAACTCTTACCTATAAAGTTGTTGACTAGAAAATGTTGGTTGATGTTGATTCTCAGAACCAATTCTACTAGTTACATCACCAAATACTAATATACTCTACAATATAATGATAAATAAACATGATTTCTGTTGAAAAGATTAAACAAAACAATGACAGCTTGTAGACATGGTATATTGACATAGTCAAAGACAAGCTGGCAGACAGTGCCCTCAACAGCCTTAGTTTTTAGTTAGTAAAATCTTTACTAAAAGGTTTGGCCAAGGACCAGTTTGTAAATGGGATCCTTTATAAGCTAGATTTCCTATCCTTATTAATAATTACTGGTATACAGCATTCTCAAAGACCTACATCTTGCAAAGAGGTTTGGCCAAGAACATGCTGGTACACAGGACGCTCAAGAAGTTATAATTTTGTAAAATCATTTCTAAGAGGTTTGGCCATGGACAAGTTGGAAAAAAAGGGTTCTTTAGGAGCCTATGTTTACATCCTTTCAAACAATCATGATGTGAAGCATCCTCAAGACAAACATCATGCAGAAAGGTTTGGCGCAGAACAAGCTGGTACACAGGACCCTCAAGAAGTTATAATTTTGTAAAATCATTACCCAGAGGTTTGGCCAAGAAAGGATGCTATCAAACAGTTACCGATGTGAAGCATTCGCAAAGACCAAAGTCATGCAAAGTGTCTTGGCATAGGATAAGCAAATGTTTCTTTTCTTGCAATCCAGGGAATTAACGTTAAAAAAGGTACCTGTGTAAGAGATGTACTAATATACTGTAAAAGTAAAGTGATTTGTTGTTGTAGAAAGACTTGACGTTGGGAAATTAAATGAAGAAGGTGTATATCTTGCTGGGTATTAGAACTGGTTGTTGTTGTTGTTGTTGATAAATAAACAGCTTTCTTTACTTCATCTGATATACCATCATCTGTTATAACTGAAAAATTCAAAGATATGACTTGTTGAAAATTAAAGGATTTATGAGGTTATTAAGATTATTCCTAAAACAACTAGCTAAAATTTCACTTACCATCAACATAAGAAAGATTTTTATCATAGCCTATTTTTCCAACAGGTAAATTATTTTCAGCAATAAAATTCCTTAAGTTAAATATCACAGGTGATTGTTTGGAATTCGATGATTCACTTAAAATATTATATCGTTTTATTTCCTCCTGATAAGGGCAAGTTTTAATATTTTCCACAGTCGATTTCAGACTTTGGTCGAAAGCTGTTTGGTCAATTGTTGTTTCTGACCATTTTACACCAAACGCTTCATAAATGTCAGTGGTTTCTTGGTGCGATTTGGAAACATTTGTAGACACCTTATATCTGAAAAAGAAAAAGTAAACATATCGACTTGGTTACTTTTAAAGGGATATAGATGCTTATTTTTTATTTTTTTTGGTTGATAGAACCTTATTTCATCTAGCTAATTTATATTTAGATACACAGGCTGTGTTAGGTCAGTTGTTTGAAGATCGCATAGCTTGAAACTCTGAGTAACAACATGTTTTTTCAGGTTCTATTTTACATTGCCTTATGTCTTCCAACCTATAAGTGTTGAAAGAGTTCCTTACCCATTGGTTTCTAAAATTCTCTCTAAATGTTGAAGTACCACAATATTTCGGATAAGTTCTGCGCCAGAACATTTTGGTAGATTTTCAGTTTCTTCAATATTACACAAAGAATTTATAAAAACGACTTTATTTGAGTCTTTTACTGGATTTTCTCCATAATTGTCCCCTTCAGTCAGAGTATTTTTAATAATATTTTTAAAAGACTGTGGTCTATTGGCATGGAATACAACTGAGTTGTATTTGTCACTAGAAACTGTAGAATATTGCAGCATGGATGGTAAATTCGGATCTGTTGTGTTCTCTGCCAGTTTGTCCAGGACCTACAACAAAGATTGATAAAAATTATCAAATTCTTCAAATGGTTCGTCTTGTTTGAATATTCATATCAATAGCCCAACTAAAAGGGGTGACAGTGGATTGGCGAAGTGTAAGCATGATTTATACATAGCCCTATCTCCTTAACTGCAACTGTGGTGTAACGAGTCATTTTTGCCAGCGAGTGGGGTGGGGCTTACCTGTTGTGGGACATCATTGCAGCTTCCCCTTGGAATAACCATGTCTCCAAGCTTCAGATCTCTAGTTTTTCGACATATTGACAATTTCTTTGCAGTAATACTATTTTCCTCGAAGACTTTCAGTGTTAATTCAACCAAATTCGATAAATCAACGTCACATCTTTCTGAAACGTTATTTTTGGCAGCCATGTTTGTTTACAACGGAAGTTGAGTAAGTGCAGAGTTGCCAGATTATAAAAAATGAAGCTGCCAGAATTACTTATGTTTAGAATGTAATTTTTTCAGCTGGCATGGTTATCGAAGGACAATTTTAATCATTTTATCCACAAGGAGGAATTTTGGGACGATGGGGACTCAAATAAAATATACGTTTATTCTTTTGAATTAAATGCTGCATGTGTCGATTTGAAGGTCATGGCCATGTTCTTTTCAACAAGCGCGGGAAATATCACGTATGTCAAAAAGAAAAGATCCACCGTAGGAATAACTTAAACTTCATATGAGGCGATCAACCTTTCATCTGACCACAGAAAAATTCAGCCATTACGTCAAGCACATTTGGCGATAGGCTTATATATTGATAAGTCTGCAAAGATCTTGAACAATATAGACCTGGCAGAATCTTATGTGTCGTTCGGGAAAGACGACTCTTGGCCGCCTTGGCATTCATTATTTGCGAATTCAAAAAGAGTTACAGTTGCCTCGGATCTTTAAGCATAGGCCTACTCAGTCTTTCGAACAGAACAAGGCACACCAATGTAATAAATAACTTTATTCCAAAAATAGAAAATACCGGTATCTGATGGAATGTAACAAGTGTAAAATTTCAGGCTTTGGTACATGACTTAAAGGGATATGGTCGTTTAAATATTTGCTTTACCAACTGATGGAAATGAATTACAGCTCTTCAAAACACTTCAAACTTAAAATCGAACGTCAAGTTCTCTTACAATTAAAGTAACGTTATGACTTCTACTGTCCAATGACGTCATGGTTTAGCTATTAGAAGATACAAACTGGATCCCTTTTGTGTTTGCTTATCGATATACTACTAAGGGCGAAGCTTTTGGGTGAAATGGTGGACCAGTTTATTAGAATATAAAGCAAATGTTTAAACGACTATATCCCTGTAAAGAAGATATATTCAAGGCTTTGGAACATGTCGGACCATTACTTTCATTATATCAGGTTGTGCTGGACTCATTACGACGGAGTAGGTGGTTGTCCTGAAACATCATTGAACAAAAGGTAAGCTAGTATTCTATATTAAGGCTTTGGGACATGACGGACCATTACTTTCATTAGTTCCGGCTGAGCAGGACTCATAACCACAGAGTAAGTTGTTTTTCTGAAACGAAATGTTTCCTGATTATGTGCCAGAACTACATTAATCAACATAGACAAGCCATGGTACTCCTTGACTCCATATTTGATGCAGCACCCTAAATCCCCGTCGGAATGACTCATCAAGGTCAATCGTGATCCAGAGGCGTAACAGGGTGCGCAATTCCACAGTTCTGGTTTTGGAAATGGTGGAAGCTAAGTCCTAAGGAAGCTTTAAAGATTCTATTATTTGAACTTCGTTTCAAACAGGCTTACGTCAATAATTAATATCCAGAGTCAACAATTTTCGGATAGAGTTTCAGTTCGAGGGCTTAGAGCGAACAAAATCATCAGACTTACGGATTTAAAACTGGAGGTGTTGATAAAACATCAAACAAATTATTAACAGTGACATTCTGTCGTCCCATCGCGTTCATAGCTTTAATGGCAGGATCCCTGAACACAAAATTTAAACATGATCCACTAAATGAGAGAGGTTGGTCCTCGTGTCTAATGGAAGAAAATGGCGAAATAATACAAATTGGGTCACCAAAATTGTTCTAGCAATATCGACCTAAATGCTTTGTTCAAAAAATACAGGCATTTCAGTCCAGTCACGCTGGAAGAATGGCATAAAGGTTAAACCCAATCAACCCCACTCCCTTCATTTGAGAAATCTGCTCATCCTACCTTCTGTCATCATCTGGTCTTGGTGTTGTCCAATGATCATAATTGGTTTCCACTTCATACCATCTAAAACAATAGAAATGGTTATAGTTGAGACCAATAATATCGAAACCGACATTACAAATACAACATGTAATTGATGCGAGTCCAGAAGATACAAATACTTATTTACATGATAAGTGATGCTGGATTGACAAACCCAAGTACCAAATAAATATTATTGACCTTGTGAACTTTCCAATAGATGCAAAATTGACAAACCTAAGTACTAAATAAACATTAGTATGTGGACTCTCTGAAAGGGATGTCAGCTTGACAAACAAAGTGGCAAATGTTTCTTCATCTGCAGCACCAGGCGCTCCAGAAGAATGAACAAAGGAGCAGAGATCTCGTACCTTCCGTGTTCAGGATCGATCTTCCACACATCTGGTGGTCCTAGCCTATTTCTCGTGACAACTGCTCCCTCGCCGGGTTTCGCTCCGGAAATGATGAAATAACCATCGGCCATTGTATCTGTGTCACTTATCATCGCCACAGCTTCGTCGAAATTGGAAGCATTAGCAACTGTCTGAAATGCAATGGAAAAAATTAAATTACACGGAATGGAGTTTCCGACTATCCAGTCCGTCATTTTGCTAAAGAAAACAGATCCACCCTCAGTGTGCCTTCCAGACGACCAAATGAGCGCCGGGTCAGCCTCGGTGGTTTTTATTTGGATTTGAGGGGGCATATTCTGTGATATTTTGTGTTAATGTGTATTACGTACGTCTCTCATAAGGAATCCCGCTGGTTTCGCTCTTCTATCTGTTAAAGCTATTATTAGGTTTTCATACCATGCGCCTTGATCTGCAACGAAACAATGAAAGATCGTGTATGGACTTTGATAGAAAGGAAAAGACTTAAAAATTGGTGGCTTTGGCTTTCCAAAAATAGAGTACATTTAATAATAATATAAGAAAGAGAGAATGAAACAATCCACAAGGATAACCATTAAACGACGCAAACGCTCTAGAATACCCTTACCTCTTTCGTCCATTGTGATGGCGAATCCATAAGGCTTTTGTCCGGTCAGAACCCCGACATATCCAGCATAGGTGACCACAGAGTAGGCAATCTGAAACGAATACACAAGGATATTAAAGCAGTTGGAGCAGTGACACCGCTTCAAGCATTCAAACTCTAAGCTTCAATCGGAGCATCACTAAAAGACTTACTGTTACAAAAACGATGTGTTCATCCTAAAACTAACTAACTATGCCTCTGTGACTATGCTTTATCAGTCTGCCCAAAGAGAGTTCACGAACAGAATGTAATTTGACTGACTCCATTGGTCCAATGCGGTGCTGAAAATTAACGTAAAATTCCATTTCGTTTCAATACAAAAAGTGTCTGCGTACCTTATTCTGCCGAGTGAAGTCGACTTTCATAGTAATATTTCGAAGGATATCAGTAAAGGAGTAGTCTAAGTTTCGAGCATGCCAAATCTGACCCTTGCTATCCTGCATGGTGATGCTTGTACAGAAGGCCGAGATATCATACACTAAATTGGTGAGAACGACATCGCCCAGGGGCATTCCGGCTGCTGTTGCTATACCTGTAAGGGAAACAAGCATCGTGATTCTGGGGCAATACGGTGCAGGCATGTGAAATGTTGTACCAAACTAAATGATGACACACCAGTATCTTGTGAGCACAGGCTGCTGTATATAAATTCCTGAGATGGAAACAAGCATCGTGATTTGATAAGTAATAGAGGAATATTGAAGAAGGAAATATCGGTATCTTTTGAAAATGTGACGGCTATTGTTAGGGCAATCTCGATTTTGCAGGAATGATAGGAAAGGAATGTGTCACCTGATGTCATGTGGCAAGTGGGAACATATTTTGACGTACCTCTCATTTCATCAGCATAAGGTTGTTCCAGGAAGTCATCTAACTTTTCAGCAACAAGTTCTGCTAATGGAACCAATTCCTCTGGTACTTTTGTTCTGAAGTAAACAATAAGTAAACAATCTGGTGGTCAGATGCGCTGGAACTGGGATTTTAAGAGTTAGTGAGGTTATAATACTAGGGTGGATTACGGTGTAAATACAGAAATCTCTCAAAAGATTGGTCTTTGGTAGTGGTTCCTTTGTCCAAAACGTTGGCCAAACCAAATAAAACTAGTCTAAAGCAATGAATGGTTGTACGTGGAATCCATAATGTGCAAAAGACTCAGATTTGAAGTTTTGATCTTAAAGCTAATATCTTACTTGATGATGGCGTGGGCATCCTTAACGATTTGATGGTACTTCTTGACTATGGCAGCCCATCGGACATTTGGTGCATCATCAAGGCTGACTGTGAAGCTAGGTGGAATCGTCGGTACGTCGATATAACTCTTACAAACACAAACCAAACTCAACCAAACGACAAGTTGTTTTATCACCGCCATCTTGTTTCGAGGCAGACGACACTGTGATATTGTAAAGTGTATATATTGGAATGATATAGCTGTTATTGTTATAATCTAATCAACGTGATAACAATGATTGGATTAATTGACTCTTCAAAAGTTGGTCAAGTCTATCGATATTATCATTGCGACATCTCATTAAATATAATGCGAATTTGTGATTGAAAAGCAAAATTGTGCCATGCATCTTGCTTGCAACTGCATAGTCCAAAACATCTGCCTCTATTCCAGCCTCTGATGGATTTTTTGACAGTTATAGGCTGGATACAAATTTCAAAATAGCTATCAGAGGCAAGAATAGAGACAGGTGTTTTGGTCTAGCAATTACGGTAATATTTTGTTAAATTAATAACCATCAGATGTTTGGCCAAGTACCATCTGGAGAATACGATCCCTAATAACAAGAAGCTAGCCTCAACTTCCACATTCAATAAAAGTGTTTGCACTTGGACTACAGCAATAAAAATAGTTCGCAGACATGAAATATATATGGAGGAAAACACTCAAGGAATCCATGATGTTGACAAACGTAGACGTAAAGTGGCATCAAGTGCTAAAGAGTGAGCATGAATGGCTTGCTAGCTAGTGTCAACAACCAATATCGTCGCTCTTGGACTACAGAAATGGAAGAAGTTTGCGAACTTGAAATATTTGTGAAGTGGAAAATCGGATGGAAATTTGGTACAGCTCGGTGTACTTTAGTTTAAGAATGAACTGATAAAGATTTTCGTGTATCTATATACAATATACATCCTCATATGATTTATACAACTCAAATATTCTAGAAATAGAATGTAGGTCACATCAGCGGACTTTGGAACCTGGGGTGAAATGTTTTATCAAATCGATATTGTAATTGATAATTATAATCTATTGTTTTGATTTGAAAATTAGCTGATATCAAGTTTGTAATGCCCTTAATATGCCCTTGGATGGCAGAGGCAAGACGACTCTAGTGCACTCCGGTCTAGCTTAGCTATGTAACTCTGCAGATACTAACAAAATCGAAAGAAGGTTCTCCTGAAATGTTCTTTATTACATACTCCTTTCTATGCTCTACGCTCACTCAGCCAGTCAAAAACGTACAGAACAGTGCGTAAAATAAACAAAAAAGATGTAAAACTCCATTGCGTATCGCTAGTCCAATAAAATGCAGAACAGAGAAACCACACGATTACATGGAAATCAACCTTTACTGCGATGTTGAAAGACTCTTTAACAGGACGATATCGATCATGAATAAAAAAATAGAGCAGAAGGAAATTCAACACTTCAATTATCTATTGATCTATAGATCAGTAGGGTGTAAAACTCAATTTCAAATGTAGCCAATTCAATTCCGTTACTTACGTTTTAGCACCTTGTATATTGACAACGACGTGTATATGATAAAGCTGATATCACGTGGTATTGTATACGTCTACAATGTTTACTGTATATAAATACTACTTAACACTAACGACGAACACAATTCACACCAATTATATAAGTCGAGTTTAATTCAATTTAAGCCTTTGTCGGTAGTGAAATTGCTTCAAACTAATGTGTACTTAGCAAACCTCTTTTTTATGTCCAGATGTGGAACATGAGAATATTAATTGATAACTTCACTTTGGTCGTAGCTGTTGAAAGATCAAGTTATCTCCCTTTGAATGCAAAGCGTATTGTGTTGATAATTCTGTTTTAGTGCAACAAATAAAATGAAATAAAATGGGAATTTATGTGCTATATTTCTGAATTTCATCGGCAGAATAAAGACGGGTATCGGCATTAAGTTGTGTAAAGACGGAAATTTTCAGGATAGCGACATTGGCTTACTTTTTCTATTGCCAACCATTGAAGATTAGTAATTGATACACTGAAGAGATGAGATTGGTCATTATTGAAGCCCGTCTTGAGTATCAATCCAGAGGAGGAGAGACCTACATAAGGTACGGAAACGTGATTCAGTGGGGATATCTACTTGGAATTTATCGTGTAAAATGCACGAATTGTTGCTCTTGAGGTTTTGAATTTGATACTTTTGAGGGATTGGATTGGAAGTTGAAAATACAACAGATCAGATAATCTATTCTAAGCAGCATGATAAGTATCTTGTGTTCACGAGTTATTGCCCTTGAAACTCTTAATTTGATACATTTGAGGGATTGGTTTGAAAGTTAAAAATATCATATAAAGCCAATATGATAATAGGATAAACATTGTTGACAAGATTACAGAATTAAATTAAGGTGATAGCGAAATTACCTTCTCAGCTCAAAGTTTATTATATCTACATAGATAGATAGAGATTACAGCTATTGAGTTGCAACATCCAATGGCTCAACTAACACAGGAACTGGTTCGGGCAATCTCAGATATCCCCCCCCCCCCCCCCCTCACCCCTCGGGCGTAAACCTGGCTCCGCCACTGGAGCTGGTGGGGGGCTCGACTCCCATTCATCTGGTTTAGCAACTGGCAACATCTCAAATTTGAATGGACGTTCAATGAAAAGTCAAATCCGTTGGCGTTTTGGAAGCAGTCCATTTGGGATTACAAGAGTGTTTGGTCTTACAAAAGACTCTCCTAATGATTTTCAAGTCACAGCGTGCATTCGATAATTGATGATATAGATAAAAAAACAATTGAAAACATATCAATTGATAAAATGATAAGCGAGATATTTTGGTTGTAAACAATGATATCGACTGCAAATCGTATTAAATATTAAAGCCAAGGAGTGCTGTTATTATCAGTAGGGACAGTTATATCACTTTGATGTAAAAGAACGACCTCTACTAAGGTTAGACAGGGTGGTACTATCATCTAGTCCGGGGCGATATCAGATATAACTTGTGTTTCAACATCTAACTTTATCAGACTTTAGCAGGTCAGAGCGTAGGATGATGTGACGATTATGAAGTAAGAGAAATCCAGTTTATCGTGGGTACAATCATGGTTCATGTTTTTGCTGTTTGGGACATTCTGCTTCGACAGCTCGTTTGTTGTAGTTACTTCTCGTGTTTCTTCTCCTTCCTTTGGTTCTTTTGGATTGTCTTGTATTTTCTGGTTCTTCTGCCCTTCTCTGGCTCTTCTGCCTTTCTCTGGTTCTTCTGCCTTTCTCTGGATCTTTTAATCCTTGCTCTGGTTCCTCTGCCTTTTTCTGGTTCCTCAGCCTTTTTCTGGTTCCTCAGCCTTTTTCTGGTTCCTCTGCCCTTCTCTGGTTCGTCTGCCTTTCTCTGGTTCTTCTGCCTTTTTCTGGATCTTATAATCCTTGCTCTGGTTCCACTGTCATTATCTGGTTCCTCTGCTTTTCTCTTGATTTTTGACTTTCACTGACTCTTCGTCCTTTCAGCTGTATCGGATCAAAAATATCAAATTATAGGCGAATATCCCTTTAAAGTGTTGCAGACATAATTTTCTGTGATAGCCTTGAACTGGTATTTAAAACATAAATAATAACACTGTAAAAAAATTAGCGTAAAATCAAATTTACATATCGCAGGTAATTACCAAAAATTCAAAAAATACAACAGTGTTTACACAACGTCAATACTGTCATTGAAGTGGGTAGTCGGGGTTAATTAGTTGTTAATTAGATATGTAGTCACGGTCAACAAGTCAAGACAAACTAAATAAAAAATACAGCTTTAAAATGTCATTTTACAGAATTCTAAAGTGGCTGGCATGTTTAACTTTCGACATGTATTTGAAATTCGAATCATCAACTACTATTGAAAGAATTTCTATGCATCTTTCCATGTTGGACATTTCGTTTCGTTTTTGTACTATTACGTTCAACCCACTAGACGATACCATTTTGATTTTATTGTTCATCGCCAAGAGGTCAAATGTCGAATTGGCAATATAAATGAAATAGCCTCGACATTGGTAATTGATAAATATCCTTCTAATTGCCATTAATCTGTACTAATTATCATTATTATAATTATAGAGGGATTAGACATTAATGCATGCGATTAGTATTCAAGCTTCCATTAATGTGAATGCACGTGCATATTGGATTTGACCTGATTATAAATGACGTTATGGCTTGCCACTGCAGATACGATGTAAATAGATGTGGCTTATTATCTGTCCTGGTTCCCAATTTTTTTGGGAATCTTCGTACCCTTTTCTATGTATAGACGCACCAGATACCCAGAAAAGACGTCATATATCTGAATGATATTATCAAATACTATCTGTCTAAGGCTTCACGGGTACTCCCTGTGTAATTTGTTGGTACCTCCTTTGATGTTTGCTGGTACCCAAGGAGATACTAGTACGCAAGGTCTATCTGGCGTCACACCCGACCTCAAGCAATCACTTGTATCAAGAGCCTTATAGTCCAAGTTAATATCGGCATCTTATTTCTCGACAGAAATTGGTCCTTGACAAGTCTCGACTTTCAAGACGACAATAAAGACTACTATATTGTTGAAAGTGAGGAATTGTATAATAGAGACTGGCACCACTTAACACGTATATTGAACAGTCTCGAACACTTGGCACAGGTACTTGGTATACTGTTCTACAAGCATGACGATTGTATTATAAAAGGGATACACGTGTCTAAAATTTCATCATATCATCTATTTTTCATTTTAGACGAACGATTCGCCATATTATCAATCCGAAGAGAGACACAAGAAGCTTACTATGTCTCTTTAGGGAAATTGCACCCCTTCACCATTTCCTCCATTTCTAAAACTAGCCCTCCTTACGAAGATTACATATATATCAGCCATTTGTCATTAGTACGAGATGAGGTCTAGACGACAACATACCTTTAAGTGTTTATAAAAAACACTATTATTATTATAATTACTTGTTAATAAACCAACGTTTCGTGTCATTTTTACTTCAGCTGTAAGGTTCACACTTTCACCAAAAATAATGTTCAAAATCACTTGACCGAATTTTATGGAAAATCGCAGAAGTTTCAACATGAAGTCCAATAATTATATATGAAATAAAATAGAGCATTGCTTCCTACA